GCAGCGAGCCCAGCGTGGGCTCAAACTCCTATGAGATCATGACGTGAGCCGAAGTTAGACGCTCAACCAACTGAGCCACCCAGGCACCCCCATTTTCTTTTTTAAAAATAGAACCATGTGATTCAGTAATCCCACTTCAGGGCATATATTCAAAGGAAATGAAATCAGGAACTTGAAGAAAACCTGCACTCTCATGTTCACTGCAGGATTATTCACAATAGCCAAGGTTTGGGAACAATCCAAGTGCCCATTGGGAAAAATGGATCAGGAAAAATACAAGGGAGTCTTACTCAGTTTTAAAAAGGAAGAAAATCCTATTTGCAACAATGTAGATGAACCAAGAGGACATCGTTCTAAGTGAAATAAGCCAGGCACAGAAAAACAAATACTCTGTGATCTCACTCATGAGTAGAATCTAAAGAAATTGGACTCCTAGAACAAGAGAGTAGAAAGATAGTTACCAATGGCTGAAAGGAGGAGCAAACAGGGGGATGTTGATCAAAGTATACAAATCCAGAGATCTAATTTACTGCATGGTGACTATAGTTAGTAATAATTGTATATTTGAAATTTACTTGAAAATGTCATTTTTAAAAAAAAAATTTTTTTAACGTTTATTTATTTTTGAGACAGAGAGAGACAGAGCATGAACGGGGGAGGGGCAGAGAGAGAGAAGGAGACACAGAATCGGAAGCAGGCTCCAGGCTCCGAGCCATCAGCCCAGAGCCCCATGGGGGGGCTCAAACTCACGGACCGCGAGATCGTGACCTGAGTCGAAGTCGGACACTTACCTGACTGAGCCACCCAGGAGCCCCTAAAATGTCATTTTTAGAGTACTCCTTTAATAAAGCAGACATTTAAGAGATTGATAGCTTACAATAAATAAGGACAAGAAAGTAAAATTTTGTGCAAGTATACAGGTATCATAGTCTTTTATTTTGCGGGAAGCAAAACTCACAGTGATTAGGATTTGAGCAGCAGGTGTGACTAAAGAAACTGTTTTGTAAACCAACAAGACTTTCCACTTCATACTCTTAGGAAATATTCAAAGCAGAAGATACCCTTGTCGTTGTCTCTAGAGCTTTTGTTCCAGGATTCAAGCCATGCCATACATCCCTGTCCCCACTGCCTGCCTTCCCAAGGTAGTTCATGCTTGTTTGTTTGTTTGTTTTGATGTTTATTTATTTTTGAAAGAAAGAGTGAGAGAGAGAGGTAGAGTGAGAGTGGGGGAGAGTGGCAGAGAGAGAGAGAGGGAGACACAGAATCTGAAGCAGGCTCCAGGCTCTGAGATGCCAGTATAGAGTCTGACATGGGGCTGAACTCACAGACCTCGAGATCATGACTTGAGCTGAAGTCTGATGCCCAACCAACTGAGCCACCTAGGCATCTCTTCAAGGTAGTTCATATTTTTTGATGTGCTGTAAGCAATTTTTAAATTCTTCATCTTTTTTGTTATCTTGCTGTAGATTCCCACAGAACCAAAAAGCTACATGCATATCTCTTTGCCATAAGTTATGTGCCCCCAACATGACTTCTATGTTTTTGAAAATTTCTGGATGTTCGTCTCAGGGCCATTCTACTCTGTCACATGTCCGTAGAGTCCTTATTCAAACCAGTGACCCATGTCTGACAGAGATACTTGCATGTTATGAAAATGACCTTATCTTGACCTTGAGAAAGAGAAAGCTGACAGCACTAGATTCGTCATGATTAGGATGTAGAACATGAGGTAGGTATTAAATCCACCAGATAATGAACATATTCAACGGGCTTCTCCATTTTCTTTCAAGTGCCAATCTTTAGGATAGTCAATGTTTGTTTTTGAAAAAGATGACTGATTTGGACACATTTATGATATTGTGTCCGAGAAATAACTATGCTAGATGTCCTCGAATGCCTACGTGTTGACTTAGCTATTTTGCAAAGCAGTCTATATACTATTTTAATACATTTAAAATTTTTAAGTTGCTCTCTTAGTGGAAGCCTAACTATCTCTATTTAATGTCCTATTTGTCTATGAGCAAAATTGAACATTATCTGACAACCATTTACACCTTTTTAAACAGCTCTATTTCCTTGGATTTTCTTTCTTATAGACTAACGTCTTCCATCCCCCCCTCCTTACCTCCTTAAAGCATCCTCGCTATCACTTCCTCATTATCCTTAGCATCCTCACCCTCCCTTTCTAGATCAGTGTTTCTCAACCTTGGCTGTACATTACCAGGAAGCCTTTATAAATATCCCAGGCCCCACCCTAAATCAGTTAAATCAAAATCTCCAGGGATGGAATCAAGTCATGAGCCTTTTACTTTTTTTTTTAATGTTCATTTATATTTGACAAAGAAAGAAAGAGAGACAGAGTGTAAGCAGGAGAGGGTCAGAGAGAGATAGGCAGAGAGAGAGGGAGACACAGAATCTGAAGCAGGTTCCAGGCTCCGAGCTATCAGCACAGAACCCGATATGGGGCTTGAGCTCAAGACCTGTGATATCATGACCTGAGCTGAAGTCGGATGCTTAACTGAGTGAGCCACCCAGGCACCCCAAGTCATGAGGCTTTTGAAATCTCACATATAATTACAAGGTTGGCAGTTGAAAAACCACTATCTTCGATGTGCTCTAGTTTACAAATTTAGCATTAAAATATGGAATTCTAAATTCCTATAACAATGTAAAACCTATATTCCTATAAGCTAAATTCCTATAACAACAATAAAAACCTTAATCTGAACTAAGAAATAGAAATTGCATTAATAGAATTTAAATGAAAAAAAAAGTTTGATATAAAGGAATCCTTCTGAAACCTTGCTTCTTAAATTGTAGCCTTCTTCAAGATTCAGGATTCATCCTTTTTTTCCTTCTATATCCACTTTCCCTGGGAGATGCCATCTGCTCTCATGAATTCAGATGCCTGCTACCAGGAAACTTCTGAGATCCAAACTCTTCTATCCAATCTAAGTATGTATCAAGTTAAAAGACAATTTTCAAAAATGAGGCAAAACCATGACTGTCATACAGACAGACAAATGAATCTGTGTTAAAGATTTTATTTCATTCATTATGGTGCCAGAGCTGGCAAACATATATATTATACCAGCTCACAAAAGTTTTAACAAATTATAGAGAGCATAAAGATATGTTGAAATAAATGTACAAATAGAGGCGAAACTGGTTTTGCCATGGGGATGAGGGTAAGGAAGAATTTGGAAGTACGAAGTCATTTGGACCTCCACCAGATGGGACGTAATCTGCATGTCAACTAGTCACCTCCAATTTAGAGTCACAAAATTGCTCAAGACCACGCACAGGGTAGAATCATGTGGCCTGCAGGCTATGCTCGATGTAGACAATGCATAGCATTCCACTGAAACACACATTTATTGCTTGGAATATCCACTTTCAAAGAAGGAAAGTCATCATAGACTCTCCCCTTGAATCTTTTGCTAACACTCTGCTGAGAGACCAGCACATACTGTCTTATTTTCCGTATCTTCAGTGCACGGCATAGTACTTGTCACACAACGAGCTTTCAAAAATGTGGAACATATGAGTAAATAGAAAATGTACTCTGAAACCACTAACCTACACTTACAATAATTTGTAACCATGTTCCACCTTCTTTCTCCTTTCCTGTTCTTGTCCATGTAAAATATATGAAAAAACATATGTTTATACCCCTTTAAAATAAATTATAACTGCTTGTTTGAATGAACAAGAGAGTTTTTGTATGTGTGTTTTTTTGACATTGTTTAAAAGGAAAGTTGATATTTGATACAAAACAATAATGAGAGAGTAGGGTCTGACTGGGAGGAGTTTAACGTTCAAATTCTATCATAGTGGAATTATCTGGGTGTCTTTTGGATGCTCAATAAGCCGTTGTTTTTTTGATTGACTAAGTTTTGAAACTTGTAAGGCCATGTTAATCTTATACCTACAGTTACAGCAGTGTTACAAAGATTAAGAAATCAAAAGGGTTATCAGCCTAGTGATTTACAGAGGACCCTATAACTGATTTGTCATTTAAGTGATAGAGGTTTTTAAGCGTTTAAGAGATTAACACTGTGAGCAATGCTTTCTCTTGATCTAAGCTGTAGACTTCTGCTTTCTTACTTATTATCTTAAGATGGATCTTTCAAGCAATGTAATTATCTGCACTTTAGACAGTGATATCTGCTGTTATTTGTTACTTTTGTAGTGCACCTTGATAATCTTTCATTAAAATTACAAAAATAGCAACCTTTCTTTCCAATTACACTTATAAATAAACTAATGTTTCAGATGGATTGTTTCATGAAAATGTACTTACACATTTTTTCTTATAGGTATAAAAATAGAAAACCAAATGCAACCTGAAAATCAACTCTTTTAAATGTAGGGAATACTTTTAATTCCAGGAGCTATAGATACTAACACTATATATCTTAGGGTGAGAAAGCATTTAATTCCTGTAACCATACAAATAACTTACAATAATATATACCAGAATTTTGACATACTATTGGAACTAACAGAGTGTAAGGCCTCATGAATAGACTACAAAAAATATAGGGTTTTTTTCACATATATTCTATCTCAATAAAATCCCTAAATTCTTTTGATCCATTTGAATTAGGATTTATGGTTTTTACTTTAACAATTACTTAATCCACTAATTTCAATTAAGGAAAATATTTTCTTTACTATTCAAAGGATAATTAATTAAATCCTTTTGGCACAAGAGTATGAATTTTAGTTGTTGATTAAATAAAGTGAAGCAGTCTAAATGCTGATATCATAAAGGACATTTTTAAATCAAATGGCCTGCCTAAATTTTAGAGGTAAATATGCTGGAATAAAACACTGCATTTTTATTCAAAAGCTTAATTTTTAGGGGCCCCTGGGTGACTCACCGGTTAAGCGTGGGACTTCAGCTCAGGATCTCAAGGTTCATGAATTCAAGCTCCACATCCGGGTCCTGCTGTCAGGGTAGAGCCCGCTTCGGATCCTCTGTCCACCTCTCTCTCTCTCTGCCTCTCCCCTGCTCTCTCTCTTTCTCTCTTTCTAAAAAATAAAAAAAATTTTTTAAAAAGGTTAACTTTTAGACTAACAAATTATTATTTGTAGATAAATATTTGTCAGATTGGCACATTTACAACTTAGAAAGGGCTAGTGCCCCCTGGTGGAAATATGCCAAAATAAAAACTTTAATAGTTCATGGTACATAGATTTTTTTTAATCTAAAATCGCAGACTGACGGTTTTGAGTTGAGCATTATTCAAATAATAAACGCTATCTTAATTATTCAAAATAATTAGTATTTGATATAGGTTTTACAGAGTTTTCGCTAGAATGGTTATGCAAAAGCAACCCACCAGTTTGAATTCATTTGCGTTGTTTTATACACTTTATAATTAAATTTGTAAAATAGCTATCTAATTATTTAGCCACCCCTGATCACATCCCAATTCTTTGGACATCCTGTATATTTCAGCATTGTGAAGACTGAGATTTCGAATGCTAAGCCCACTGTTGTACACTCAATGTCTAGCAATGAGTTTGATAATGGCAATAGCACAGTAGACATTTTTTGTGGTTCATTTCACAGATTTTATCAAAGTATTTGAAGTAGGACTTAATACACTTTGCATGAAGAATCTGCCTTGCAAACTGAAATCTGTTTTTAAATATCACATAAATATTTCTGGCAATTAATTAACTCACTGATGCTGGGTTATTTGTTATTTTCCCCTGTTGAACATAATAGTAGTGAACATTTTGTAGTCTTCAGCAACGTCCACAGATATTCAATATTCACATGGAGTATATAGAAACTTGCACTATAAGACCTTGTCAAAATCTGAATAAATGGCATGAAACTCAATTTAAAGGATTAAATGTAAAATATTTGACCTTCTGGTTCAAGGGAGTTAAATTATTCTGAAGCTATATCACTATTATTCCTATAACAAGATATTTCATTACTTCAAAGGCTTATTTATACTTGTCAATGACTATGAAAGGCATGCGTGACCAAACACCAAAAATTAAAAATATGTCCTAAAAGTTTGAAATGTCACCACACTGAAGGTGAGAATGAGAATTCATGATTATTAATGTTAATTTACAATTACTGTTTTTGCTTTTAAGTTGTTCAACAACTGAAAACCTTCAGAAGTTAACTGTTTCTGCGTATCTACTATCCCTCCCTTGTATAGAACACTCGATAAAAATTTCTCTTATGGAATATTAGGATTGTCCATTGTTTTTTATAGTGTTGTCTGCTATTCCCCATGGTATACTTGCATCAAAATTTTGAAATCTTGTTGGAACAGTTACAGCCATAAACATTTTTGCACATTAAAAAAAAAGGCATGTTCTAAGTAAGATCTTGGGACTTTTGACTATAAAATATTTAAGACAGAAACGAATTTTCAGAAGATGTGAAGTATCTATTGTGAAGAATTACTATATGATAGTATCAATTACAGATTATATTCAATAGGAAGTATTTGATAAGTACATTTTTGCTTTTTCATAGGCAAATGTTTGAATATGTATATATAAGAAAATGTTTATACAGTGTGAATTTACCACCTTTATTTTAGTCTTCTATTCTGATTATTCTTATAAACACTTGAAAGTCAATGATAAATTCAGCTACTGTAAGCATTTTCAAGCATTTAATTTCATATTCTGTTTAAACAACCATAAAAATAATACAGTGATTTGAGGGCTAAATTCCCTGGAGTAAGTCAAGAGGCATGGAAAAATGAATATCACATCAAAGTGAATATTCAAAACTAAAGTAAAAATTAAACATGCTCACAAGCCCTCAAATCTTTAAGGCATATTTTAGAATGCACCATTTTCCAAACTGAGGAACAACCTCTTTATAATATTGTAAAAAAGTGTCTCTGTGATGATGAAAAGTAGTAGTAGAGAATATTATTATCCATAATATATAGAGAGCTCTTTCTCTCTCAGCAGAATCTTTTAGTGAATTCTTTCTAATAAGGGCAAAATAATTTAATGAAAGATTCTGCTAACATAGAAAGAAATATCTGATATTACCAAACCTCACTCCTAAAATAGTTCCCTTTGAAAGGAATTAAACTATTGTAACATTATGACAAGGATACATTTTTGTTTCCATGAGGCCAAATAAAGTTAGAATATATTAAAGATTATTAAAGAAAAGAAAGCTATATGTACTTTTATTTATTTTATTTTATTTTTTTAATTTTTTTTTTCAACGTTTATTTATTTTTGGGACAGAGAGAGACAGAGCATGAATGGGGGAGGGGCAGAGAGAGAGGGAGACACAGAATCGGAAACAGGCTCCAGGCTCTGAGCCATCAGCCCAGAGCCCGACGCGGGGCTCGAACTCACAGACCGCGAGATCGTGACCTGGCTGAAGTCCGACGCTTAACCGACTGTGCCACCCAGGCGCCCCTATACTTTTACTTTTAAAATGACCTGAAAATTGTTTTGACTGTGTGGAATTTTTTTTTTTTTTTTTTTTTTTTTTGAGAATGATCCATTTGAAATGGATAGGACTTTAACAAAACTCAATTTGCTGTCACGAAAGAGCCAAGTTTTGAAGTACTCTAAATGTTTACTTTTCTGCACTGCCAAGCAAAAGAAGTCACGCACAATTGGAGTTCTTGTTAAAACCATGTGCCCTGGACATGTTCTTGTTAAGTTGTGGCTTAAGGCAAAAAAAGTAAAATGTAACAATTCCTTTTTGAAATAACATTTACTCTGGGTTCAACGATAACGTTTTCTCATATTTTGAAGCAAGTTGGTTGGCAGCAATAGCACCTTTTTTGGCATGTGAGATGATAAAAATTCTAACTTTCCCAATACAGCCAGCTCCTGGTTTTCATTCATCCTGAGAATTTTTATTCCATTAGGGAAAAATTCTTATTTGACAACATCCTTTTATAACTGTAATGTTGATCAAAAAGTTGAAATTTGACAGGCAAAATTTAGATCAGAAAAAAATATCAATGCCCGATGCACAGATAAGTGGGACTATGCCTGGAAACACAAGTGATTTTGTTGACTTGATTTGGAAAAAAGCTATACCTAATAGTTTCCCCACTGTATTTGTATCAGGCTCTACTAATAATCTACATGTAGCCTTGGCCATCACCCCCAAAATCATGGAAAACATCAGATCCAGCAATTTGACTTTCTATTTTTTACATGATTTTCAAAAATTGGCAAATAAATATAATACGGCTTCCACAACAATAGATATTTCTTTTTCTTTTCCTTTTCCTTTTTCTTTTCTTCTAGCTAGTAAAACTGGAAGCTCTTGATCACTATTTGAGCAGAGATTTCCATTTTTGAAAGGCAAAGCAAATCCAACTCCCAAAATGGTACATAAAGAGAAGTTATTCATAACATGCTTGAATTTGTGAGTGCTTTTGGTCATAAACTGAGGAATGGCTTTTGATTTAAGTTTAAGAAATCATTATTATGGTTGATACCAAAAATATTTAAGCTGCCACTCTGGATGACAAAATTGGAAATTATCAGCTGTGACATCATTCCAAATCTGAAAGAAGTACATCTGCAGAGTGGAGAAGAAAAAAAAAAGTAAGTATAACTTACCATTTTATCCCCAAACAGATATTTCAGAGGTATCCAGAAATCTCAAAGAAGTCTGCTCTAAAAAAAAAAAAAAAAAGCTGAACTAATTCAGACAACTATGAATGTAGAGAAATATAACACACACCACAGATTTACCACCAACCATAGGAAATAAGGCATTATGAGGACAGATAAAAACACCTTAGTGTTTCAACAAGTTTGTTTCTTCTCCCTTCTAAGAGTTCAACCACTGTCTTGAAGTTGAGTTTCTCAATTTCTAGTATTTTATTATGTTTTATTAATAAGTATTTAGCATTACTAAACAATATAGAATACCATCTCTCAAGTTGTTAATCTTTATATGTGACAATCATCCTCTATATATTCTATTGCAATTGCTTATAATTATTTTGGAGAGATTTGTTCATGTTGGGATGTATAATTCTAGCTTACTAATCTTTCGTAGCTTTGTAATATCTCATCATATTAGTGTTCTACAGTTTCTTTCTTTCTTTTTTTTTAAATGTATATCCATTTTTCAGAGACAGAGACAGAGACAGAGACAGAGCAAGCAGGGGAGGGTCAGGAGAGAGAAGGAGACACAGAATCTGGAGCAGGCTCCAGGCTCTGAGCTGTCAGCACAGAGCTGGACATGGGGCTCTTGAACCCATGAACTGTGAGATTGACCTGACCAAAGTCCAGATGCTCAACCGACTGAGCCACCCAGAACCCCCCATGATTTCTTTATTAATTCTTCTATTGATTATATCTGAGTTGTATGTCAGTTAGGAGAGTCAAAGTTCAGGCTGCAATAAGAAGCACCCCAAAAATATCAGAAAAAAATTTACTCCTTGCCCATGCAGGCTGCTGTAATTTAAGATGTTCAGCTCTATGGAATTGTCAGGGTTCCAGGTGACAATGGCTTCCATCTAGAAAATGACAGTCATCCAGATGTGGGGAAAGAAACAGAATTATGGTACAATTCACTTTCCTTCCAAATTTGTTGTCCAGAACCAGTCATGTGGCTCAGCTCAGGACAGTAGTTTCCATAAACCTCAAAAGGAAAAGAGAATCAGCCAGAGTCCAGCTCCAACGGGTCCAGTGGTTCCCAGAGGAAGGATGGCATCGGTGAAAAAGTGAAAATAAAACAAAACTAAAATAAAACAACTCAAATAAAAAGCTAAAATAAAAAACTAAAACAAAAAATAAAAAATGGGCACAGGCAACAGCAGTGTGTTGAACTGGCCTATTTATTGTAGCAAACGTGGCATTATATTTGCTAGTGATTTCCTTGTAGCATATGTCATCTATGTTTTGCTATCATTGCCTAATTTTGAAAATGTTCCTACGTATAATCAACCTTTAAGAAATAACATGGTGATTTTCTCATAATGTTCCCTCCTGCCCTTTGCTTATTGATTAATTTCATACATTATTTTATTATGCATCTGCCTTTATCTATAATCTATAAAGCATTTGCTTTGCTGTTCTCATGAAAGGCCTTCCGTCTCTCAACACCTCAAGTGGAACAGTTACAGGGACATGACCTCTTAGTTGTTTCCCTGAACCATTTGAAGCCAGAGGAACAATGTGTTTGCCTCTGTCCAAGGTGCCAGGAAGGGGCCGAAACAGCCTTAGAAACCCATGCCTCATACATTCTCAGAGAGACAATGCACCTAGGAACCAATGAAACATTCTGTACCTTAACCAACTAGGTTCAGTCATCATCTGGAATGCCTAGGGGTTGAAGTCACCTGTGCCCAGAGATACACTCCTTAGTTGCCAGAGTGGGGCTTTCAAATCCATATGTCTCTCCTTTTTCGGCCTCCTTTGCTGGCAAATGTATGAGGCTATCTTTCCTGTAAGTGGAGGAGTCTCCGCAGGGAATGGCAAGGGCTAAATGTTAGGCCGTACAATTTCTTGCGGAACCTTTTCTTTCCTAATGGTTCTTTTCCCAGGGGGGCCTGTTGAGGGCAATTCCCCAACAGACAATACCCCAGGTACTTTTATTAAGGCCAAATTACCTAAAAGCGGAGTACAAGAAGCTTCCCTGTCGATGGGCCGCCTTGCAGTCACCAATCCGTCCACAGCCTGGCCCTTGCCATCAGACTGGGATAGCTCGGCTTGGAGCAGATCACCGTTTGTTTCTAGTTCTTACTATTGCAAACCCTACTGATGTCCTCTTGTATTCACATGAGAGAAAACTTGGGAGTGAAATTACTTGGCCTATGGAATACCACCTTTTTGACTTTCTTAAGTAAGAATCAAATTGCATTTTCAGAGTTCTACTACACTCCCACCCAAGAGAATGAGGGTTTCTGTTTCTCATAGTGCTTGCTAATTCTAGGTACAAAAGTTCTCTTGTGATTGGTAAGCATATCATTTTATTGTGATTTTAATTCACATCTGCCTGATTGCTGGTAAGGTTGACGATCCTTTTATTTTATTTTTTGGCCCACCCAGTTTGTCTTCTATGAATTAAATATTCATATCCTTTGCCCACTTCCCTATTGAGTTGCCTTTTTGTATTAATTTGTAGAAGCTCTTTATGTATAATGATTTTATGCATGACAAATATAGTCTCCAAATGTGTGGATTATCTTTGTAATTGTTATCACAATTTTAGATAACACAATTTTTTTTCTGTAATTCTAATGCAAATTAACTCCTTTCCTTTATCATTGGTACTTTTTAAAAACAGTCCTTACCCAAGTATCATAAAGACATTCATTTCTCTTCTAAAAACTGTAAATTTTGCTTTTCAAATTTAGTTCAATTACATGTAATTCTTTCTTATGTGGTTCCTGAAAGAGTGAATTGATTTTCAAAAAATAGACTACCAATTGTTTCATGATTATTTACTGACTAGTACATTCTTTTCTTCTGATCTAAATGTCACTCTTGCCATTTGTGAAGTCTTCACGTATAGAAATACTTCTCTTGATTCACTAAGTAGTTGATTAATATGTCTATCCACAGGGTTAATATATGACTGTCTATAGCTTTAGAGTAAATTTCGATATCTAATGGGACAGTTAACCTCACTTTGTTCTTTTAATATAACAAATTTTGGTAGTTTTTAGTCCTTTACTTTTCTATACCAGAGTCAGAGTCATGTCAGAGTCAATGTCAGAGTCATCCTAAAAATGTCAATGAAAACTCTGTTAGCATTTCCAATAGAGTTGCATTAATATTTAAACATGGAAAAAAATCATCATTGTATGATATTGACTCAAAATGATAATTTATTTATGTGTTCATTTATTAAGAATTTTATAAATAACTAGTAACTAATAACATAAAATTCTCCATTAAAGTAATACACATATTTTGTTAGATTTATTTATAGATAGCTTTCATTCTTTGCTTTTGTTGCTTTAATAAATGATACATTTTTAAATTACATTTTTAGTAATTTTGTGGTTGTGTAAGAATGCAATTGGTTGCTATATATTGACATATAAAATTACTTCCAAATGTATGTTTGTATTTTCTCTTATTTTTCTTATATAAAATTATGTTACCTGTAAATAATGATACCTTTGCTTCTTTCTTACATATTTTATTAACTTTTATCAACTTATTAATACTATTTAATGTTATCAAGAATAGCAAACATCCTTACCTATTTTCATATTTTAAATATAATGCTTTCAATATTTTACCATTAATTAGAACTTATTTCATAAATGTTTAGTAGCTAGCCTTCAACTGACTTAATAATCTTCAGTATGCTGAAGGTGTTTCTTTCGCTTTTATTTTTTTTATTTTTTATTTAAAAAAAGGGTTTTTTTACATTTATTTATTTTTGATAGAGACAGAGCACAAGTGGGGGAGGGGCAGAGAGAGCAGGAGACACAGAATCCGAAGCAGGCTCCAGGCTGCCAGCTGTCAGCACAGAGCACGACGCGGGGCTTGAACTCACAAACCGCGAGATCATGACCTAAGCCAAAGTCAGAGGCTTAACCGATTGAGCACCCAGGTGCCCCTCTTTTGCTTTTATTTTTAAGTAGAAATAGTTTTACCATGAAGAGTTATTGATTTTATCAAATGGTATTTTTTTGTTTCCATTTATGTGACCAGATGGTTTTTCTTTTTATTCTTCTTTTATCTCACTTAATCCTTTTATTTCTAGGATTATCTCCACAATTATTATGCCATTACTCTTATTAGAGCTTTTGCATCTATATTTATAAGTGAAACTAGTCTGTAATTTTTATTCTTCTCTTGTCTTTGTCTGGCATAGGTTCAATGGTTTTTCCAGCTACATAAAAATAGTTGGGGAATTTTATTTCCTTTTCTATTCTCTGATAGAGATTCTATATGATTGAAATTATCTATACTTTAAATGTTTAAAGAGCACACTTCTAAAATCTAGGCTTTTATTATCTGGTAATTTATTTAACCACTACTTTGTCTACAAAAGCAGGCATTACACTTTTTACAGATGATACCAATATGGCCAAATTGAATCTAATACAGCTCTAAAAACAGTCTTGCAGATTTTTTAATCCTTATATATCTTGACATGATAAATAACATTTTGCAAATATGGCAAAATGTTAGATTCTTTAAGACATTTTCTAAATAAATAAAAAGATGAAGATGTCTGCTAAAACGAGCAAGTAATTCACAAAATAAATACAAATGAATAAAAGCACATATAACCAAAACCTCTCCAAATTGAAAATTCTCTCTCTCTTAGAAAAGGTTAAATAATGGTAATAGTGCTGATGAATGTTCATTCAATGTCCACTTTTCTATACAACTGGAAGCAATATAAATTGGTACCATCCTATGTGTAATAGTTATTGATAAGTTTTGTTTATCTAAGATCTTAGAAGAACAGTGATTATCTCTATAATGAAGATAGAATGTTTCTATCAGTAAATTGTCTTTGTTATACTCAATACCTACTCTAGTGTTTTGGAATGGAATAGGATTTCAGATTTGTTATACCCTAATAAGTAAACAATTGTATCTGAATCCCTAAAGCATATTAGTATTTCACATATTTATACTCCAGTGGTTCTAAATAAGACATAAATATTTAGCATCTTAAGTTATTTCACTTAGCATATAATGTAAACCAAAAATTGACTCATGACAATCTCCAGGAGTGCTAAGTTATAACATTAACTAAATTCAAATGTGGATTTTATGGATAATTAGTCATTTGTCCAATAATCTATGATAACCTCTATATCTTTCCCTTTTCCTATACAGTTAAAGTCAAAATGACCTGTAGTCCACTAAAATATCTTTCTGGAGAGTTAACATTGTGAATATTCCCCAGCTTGGTAACAATAGTAATTTTACCCTGTCAGGAAGCATGGCACCTACTCTAAATATCCTGTTATTAAGTATAGAACTTAACGGTTGATTAGCTTAGCTCAATGCAAAATACAGATTGATTTGGAGAAGTTTCAATAAGAAAATTTGAAAAAAAGCTCACCATCAAAATTTTTTCACATGACCTGATGAGACAAATCAAGCCCATGATAGTGATTTAATGTTGCAATCAGCAGTGTGTCAAACCTGATCGATGTGTCCCTTCAAATTCTGGCGGGAAACTTGACCACCAAAGTCTCAGACAAATTCTCCCCAAAATCTCTCTGACTAACCAGACCCAAAGAGATTCTTTTAGTCAACTGTCTTTTGTTTTGTCCTTGAAGCACAATGAGTTTTTTTTGCTGTTCAGCCCCTCTGCTTTGAATTGAATAGTACACGGTGACCTCAAGATGTTATTTACGATAGAGAGCTACACCTACCTTTCAAAATGTCGAATGTGTAGTCAGGTGGCAAAAAGTGATTTCTCTGTGGAGACTTAAGTAAGAAAGTAATAAATGTAATTTTCACAAAACACCAGTTTTAATAGCTATCAGTGTGTTATAAACACAACGAAATTTACAATTGGTACTGAGTCAGCACTCAACTGTCTTCTTAACTCTCACCTCCATGGGTGTAGACCTGTTGCTGAGAAGGCAGAGCATACATCACCAGTCCACACATCAGCTGAAATCTCACTGCAATTCAGAGGTGAACCAAATGATAGTTTCAAAAATAAGGTGTTTTTTTTTCCCTATCATCTGTACACTTTGGAAAGTTTTACTAAAAGTTTTATGAAGTTCAAGGACATTTGTGTAATTTATCATTCACTTCCTGTTCTGCCTTTGTAGGAAAGGCCTTCCTACATGGAAGAGTGGCAGAGAGGGAATCTAGATTGTGGTGACTGAGAAGTTACAGGAAATGATGTGTGGTTCATCTAATGTCTTGATACTCAAAGTACGGTCTGTGGATCAGCAGCCTGAGCACCACATGGGAGCTTGTTACAAATGCAGATTCTTATGCCCACCTCAAAGCCACTCATTCAGAATCTTCTTTTAATAAGATTCCCCAAATGAGTTGCATGAGCATTTGGATAAAAATAATTTAAAAGATTACTTTACTGCATTTGAATATGGGATACAGATGGCTTCATACAGCCAGCGCCATTCCCTTAACCTCTCTGAGCCTTAGGCTCCATATCAATTCAATAATTAATAATAATCTGTGCTGACACTCAAATGCAGTTATTATGAACATTGAGCTATGACATGCAGCAAAGTATCTGACAACCTTAGGTTATCAATCACTGTTACCATTATTAACTTTTCTAATAGGGAGCCCTTATTTCACCAGTTCAGATATATTGACATTTTCCATTACCTTCTAAGTAAGATATGTCTTTTCTATGATACTACAATATTGTTTTTTCTAATGCTCTCCCATATCTACTTCTTCTTTGTGGCCAGGCACATGTAGGGATTTTACTTCACTGCTCCTAATCCCTTGTGTTGGGCAGGGCCACATGACCAATCTGGTCAGTGGTCCAGGGCTAAAGTGCCACTTTCCAGTAGGAACATTTATTTGCCAAAGTAAGACTTCTCAGTGGTCTCTTCTCTCTTTTTCCTGGTTCTTCTAGATGGTGGAATATCCATCAATCTGAGTCCCTGAGTATAAGTGAGATTCCTTGCTGGCAGGTGGTCAATATATATCATAAATAAAAAATAAACATTTCTTGCATTAAGCCCCTGAGATTTTAGAGTGGGTTGTTAATATAAGCAAGTCTACTGTGACTGATAGGCACATCTCCTTTTCAGTACCAATCTTCAAGATTGCAGGTTGGCTTTAGATACTTCAGTGATGTAAGTCTTCTGGGCATAACTTCACAAAATACATACACTAAATATATAGACATATATATATATATATATATATATATATGTGTGTGTGTGTGTGTGTGTGTGTGTGTGGTGAAGAATCTGCATGATTTTTTGAACACCCCTGATTCAGCTTTGCTTCTTCAATCTGCCCTACAGAGTTTAACCAAACTGATCTTCTTTAAAGACTCTGAAATCTGAGATTCCTCTAGTCCTTATTTTTGACCACATATTCTAGCTCAGTATTGCAGATACAGTTCATGTGTTCTTTCATATTTCAACACTGACATTGGTAATTGATGACTGTAAGTTTTCCTGAGGAGACAAGATATACCCTTATAATCATTTTTAACTCAGAAAATTTGAAAGCCTCTAATAATCCATCAAAGTAGACCTGAAAGATGAAATAAATTTTGTAGCATTGGTCTAATTTTTTAAGCTTAATGTCCTAAATAGATTCCTTAAAATCTGGTCTTGCTTTTTTAATTCCAATTTTCATTTCCTACAACTTCTCAAAAAAATAACCTTTTCTCAAACCAAAAAACTCTGCCACACTTTTTCCAACAAGTAAAATGCAATAATGTGAAGTATGATTGAGACCTTTTCTTTTCCTGGAGTTTAAGTAGATTACAGTGCAGATGGTGACCTGTTGAAAACTAATGATAAAACTGCCCAGCCCTTGTCGTGAGACACGTGTGTTCCCAGGTATGAGAAACCTCACTGATTTATCCATCTTGACCAATGAGAAATATGAGACAGCATAAAAATAAACAAACACCTTAGTTTCTCAGGGATCGCTAAACTTATCAGGGAACTTAAAATACAAGATCAGCATGACTCTGAGGGTGTGAGATTGTGTTACATTAGTTACATCAAAGACTAAAAGAAACAAATAACATTAATAATAAAGATGGAAATAGTAACTATTATATATTGAGTACTTACTATGTGACAAGAACTGTGAGGAAGTGTTTTCCTTGTGTTTATTTTTCTCACTTCTTTTTTAGATTTCATCATTATTACTATTTTATGCATAGAGAAATCCAAACTCAGAGAGTTTTCCTAAGGTGACATAGGTAATAGGTTTTGAAAATAAGACTATCTTCAGAGTTTACATGCCTTACCCTTTTTTCAAGACTGCTTAATGTAATGAGACAGTGGTGGTCACCTTCTTCGGAGAAATGGACGTGGGGGAGAAGTGTTATGCCTCAGCTCTAGCTCCAACTCTAGTTTCAAAGGTCTATTTGACCTTGGATAGGACCACGAAAGGGTTTCTACAGCCAAGATCTTGTGACTGTTGTATGGTTCACCATTTTTACAAAACAGATGTTTTTCTGAATAGCAACTTATGAACTGAATTTCTGGGCCTGTAATCATTTTATATGTTTAAAAAATTTGTCATTGACTGAATCTTTGCACACATATATTTTCTAGAACACAGAATTCTTTTTTCATGGAAGCATTAACTTGTTATATATTTTATTTATTTTCCATTTATAATATATATTAATATTTCTCAATACCCAGTCTTTAAAAGAACTGGATTTCTCCAGTGAAGAAATGGACAAAAGACATGAATGGATGCTTTTCCAAAGAAGACATCCAGATGGCTAACAGACACATGAAAAAAAAATGCTCAACATCACTCATCATCAGGGAAATATAAATCAAAACCACAATGAAATACCACATCACATCTGTCAGAATGACTAAAATTAACAACTCAGGTAACAACAGATGTTGGCAAGGATGTAGAGAAAGAGGAGCACTTTTACACTGCTGGTGGGGATGCAAACTGGTGTAGCCATTCTGGAAAACAGTATGGAGTTTCCCAAAAAAAACTAAAAATAAAACTACTCTATGACCCAACAATTGCACTACTAGGTATTTATCCAAAGAATACAGGAGTGCTGAGTTGAAGGGGCACATGCACCCCAATATTTATAGCAGTGCTATCAAGGATAGCCAAAGTATTTAAAGAGCCCAAATGTCCACCAACTGATGAATGGATTAAGAAGATGTGGTGTATATATACAATGAAATATTACTTGGTGATCAACTAGAGTGAAATCTTTCCATGTGCAAAAACATGGAAGGAACTAGAATGCATTATGCTAAGCCAGTCAGAGAAATAAGTATTAAATAAGTCAGTCAGAAAGATGATTTCACTCATATGGGGAATTTAAGATACAAAACAGATGAACATAAGGGAAGGAAAGCAAAAACAATATAAAAGCAGAGAGGGAGACAAACTGTAAGAGACTCCTAAATACAAAGAACAAACTGAGGGTTGCTGGCGAGGTGCTGGGTGGGCAGAAGAGCTAAAGGGGCGATAGGCATTGTTGATATGAACACTGGCTGTTACATGTAAGGGATGAATCACTAAATTCTACTCCTGAAATTATTGTTACACTATCTATTAAATAACTTGGGTTTAAATTTTAAAAAATAAATAAAAGATCTGTATTTCTCATTTCTCTCCATTGGTCATGTAAAAATCATTTCCAAGTAGTTCGTCAGTTATTCAATATCAAGCTCTGATTACTTACAAAATTTTCCAAGGTCTGACTTTCAATATTTATGCATCTATGAAGCTGAGAACCCTGAAGAAGATACTTAAAATTTTAAAAGTGACACAAAGATTAGAACCAAGAAATTCTGAGCCATTGTTTACTGAAGACATTAAGAGTATATTTTATGTTTGTGAGTGGAAAGAATCTGTTTATTATCATAATGTTTCTTGGTATATTTTCTGGTATGACAACATAAATGCAATAGTAACTACCACACTGAGAAAGCATTGATTTGATTTATCAAGAGGTTCTAGCTACAATTTACATTTATCAGTATATATGACTTTGAGTTGTTCCTTTAACTTCTCTGAGGTATCTTTTACTCATCTATAAAACTGCCTTGACAAGTGTATGAGATTATAAGGACACAGTGAGATCAGGCATATGAAATAGCTTTATGCACCATAAATTGTTATAAAAAACAACTGGTTTTCTTTTTGAAGAATTGTTGTTTAATCTGAAAAGATTAAAAATGTGTGTAGTAGTTGTTCTATCAATAAACAATAACTAGATTAAGGCCTGTTCATTACTTGCCTATTTTGCCTTTATGAACACATATTTACTGATCTTCTTTTGCCCGTCTCCGCATTTTATTTCAGTCTATGAGATTTTCTAAGATTCAGGAAAGAAACAGGGAGTGTGTACATGTGTATGAGTGTATGTGTGTGTGTGTGTGTGTGTGTGTGTGTGTGTGTGAAGCGATTAGGAATAAGAAGAGGTGATAAGTTTGCTAACTTTTAAATCTCTGATGTAAATCTCAGTGTTAGCTAGTATGCATTTATCCAAATGGAGCTCATCATTAGAATCAAATGTATAATTATAATTATATTTTTCTATGATAAATGGTTGGTAAACTAACTGTTGTGAAGCTGGCTCAATTCAAAAGTCCTGAGTAATCTTTGATCCCTTCTTTCTTAGTATGTGGTAATTTTAAGAACTACAGTATCTTGTTGAGA